ACAAGTGCATCATACTGTCTCCTGGGTCCTGCACTTTGGCCACAATAACTCCATGCAATGCTACAGGTTTAGGGCAGAGTGGCTGGATGATTGTGAAGAGGAAAGGGATCTGTGTTGGTAAATGTTCGGCTGAACATGAGCTGACAGTGTGCCCAGGTGGCCAAGAAGGCCAATGCCATCCTGGCCTGCATTAGAAATAGTGTGGCCAGCAGGAGCAGGGAGGTAATCACCCCCCTGTACTCAGCACTGGTTAGGCTGCACCTTGAGTACTGTGTTCAGTTTTGGGCCCCTCGCTGCAAGAAAGACATTGAGGCCCTGGAGTGTGTCCAGAGAAGGGCAAAGCTGGTGAGGGATCTGGAGCACAAGTCTTATGAGGAGCGGCTGAGGGAGCTGGGATTGTTTAGTCTGGAGAAGAGGAGGCTCAGAGGAGATCTTATAACTCACCTACAATTTCCTGAAGGGAGGTTGTAGCGAGGTGAGGGTCAGACTCTTTTCCCAGGTAACTAAACAATGGGATGAGAGGTAATGGCCTCATGTTGTGTCGGGGAGGTTCAGGTTTGATATTAGGAAAAATTTCTTCTCTGACAGAGGAGAGGTCAAGCATTGGAACAGGCTGCCCAGGGAAGTGTTGGAGTCACCATCCCTTGAGGTGTTCAAGAATATATAGGTGTGCCTCTTAGGGATATGGCTTAGTGGGCATGGTGATGATAGGGTGACAGTTGAATTTGATCATCTTGGAGGTGTTCAAGAATATATCATCACCATGCCCACTAAGCCTCTTAGGGATATGGCTTAGTGGGCATGGTGATGATGGGGTGACAGTTGAATTTGATCATCTTGGAGGTCTTAATAACAGCGCTATTTTTAATACAAGCCAGGATGGCATTGGCCTTCTTGGCTGCATGGCACCAGATTCATGTTCAGCTGGCTGTCAACTAACACCCCAGATCCCTTTCCACCACGCTGCTTTTCAGCCACTCTGCCCCAAACCTGTAGCTTTGCATGGTGTTGTAACCGAAGTGCAGGACCCAACCCCACACTTGATCATGTTGAACCTCATACAACTGGCTGTTACAGAAAGTGATGGTGTGCAGTGAGGAGCTTGGTTCTGCCTGTTAGAAAGAAAAGAGTGAGGAGGCCTTGTGTGATTAGGCGCTGGAATGGGCTGCACAGGGAGGTGGTGGAGTCATCAACCCTGGAGGTGTTCAAGGAACATTTAGATGTTGTGTTGAGGGATGTGGTTTAGTGGGAAACATTGGTGATAGGTGGACAGTTGGACTGGATGATCTTGGAGGTCTTTTCCAACCTTGGTGATTCTATGAACTCTCTCAGCCTGTCTGTGTAGGGGAGGTGTTCCAGCCCTCTGATCATTTTTGTAGCCGTCCTCTAGATTATCTCCAACAGCTTGATGTCCTCCTTGTGTTGGGGGCCCCAGAACTGGACACAGTACTCCACTCCAGGTGAGGCCTTACAAGAACAGAGTAGAGGGGCAGGATCACCTCCATCAACCTGCTGGTCACACTTCTCTTGATGCAACCCAGGATGTGGTTGGCCTTTGGGGCTGCAAGCGCACATTACTGGCTCATGTTGAGTCTTTCATCAACTGACACCCCCAAATTCTTCTCCTCAGGGCTGCTCTCAAGCCATTTTCTGCCCAGCCTGTATCTGTGCTTGGGATTGCTCTGTCCCAGGTGCAGGACCTTGCACTTGGCCTTGTTGAACTACATGAGGTTGGCATGTGCTCACCTCTCCAGCCTGCCCAGGTCCCTCTGGATGGCATCCCTTCCCTCTAACATTTCAACTGCACCGCTCAGCTTGGTGTCATCTGCAAACTTGCCGAAGGTGCACTTGATCCCACTGTTCATGTTGCCTACATAGATGTTAAATAGCACTGGTCCCAACACTGATCCCTGAGAAATGCCACTCATCACCAGTCTCCATTTGGACACTGAGCTGTTGACTGCAACTCTCTGAGTTTGGCCATCCAGACAATTCCCTATCCAGCAAGTGGTCTATCCATCAAATTCATTTTTCTCCTATTTATTGACCAGGATGTTGTGCAGGACACTGTCAAATGCTACGTGTCATGAATGTGTTTCAGATTATGTTTAAGATTAAACAGATATTTAAGAATATCACCCAGAGATCTGCCTTGAGGTGGGATAGTTCAGAGTGGCTGTTGCAGTTTGAAGATTTAATCATGTGACACCCCTCCCTCCCCTCAGGAGAAGAGGGGGAAGGAAGAGGAAAAAACCCTATTGAGATAGGAGAAAATAATTTATTAAAAGGAATTCGAGTTAATACAGAGTAATTAAGAATAAATCAAACAAACCAATAGTAAATGGGAGGAGAGAGAGTCAGTCTAAGTCTTTATTGGCTGGCCTCTCAGAAAAAAAATAACAAGAAAGCTCTTCTCTGTCATCTGGAATCGTAAATCATGTGGAGGCCCTTGGGAAATGTAGTACATGTCAGTGTATCTTTCTCTGGGAGAGTCAGAGCTCACGTGTGACTGCTAAAGAAGCCAGGAAACACAGCTTCACAGTGCACTGTGTCTCTGCACCCAACAGCCTGTTTCATGATGTCATGATATGGAATACTGATAAAACCAGGACAGTGGCAGGGAGTGTGGAATGGTATGGGGAGGTGTCTAGGGTGATGGGCACCCCCAGTGGTTTGGAACTTCACCTCAGAACAACTGGTAGCACAAAGGCAAACCTATTGCACAGGTTATCCGTGAATGTGAAATGTGCTGTAATTAAGAATGCCAAGTGGATATAACCTGTTTGGTATGGAGGACAATGGCTGAAATATAAATATGAGGAGGCCTGGCAGCTGGATTATATTACACTCACACAAACTTGCCATGGCAAATGTCATGTGCTTATAATGGTGGAAGAAACCACTGAATGGCTGGAAACGTATGCCGTGCCCTATGCTACTGCCCAAAACATTGTCCTGCCCCTTGAAAAGCAAGTCTTGTGGTGACATGGCACCCCAGAAAGAATTGAGTCGGACAACAGGACTCATTTCCAAAACAATCTCATAACCACCTGGGCTAAAGAGCATGGCATTGAGTAGGTATATTACATTCCCTATCATGCACCAGCTTCTGGTAAAATCAAACAATATAATGGACTGTTAAAAACTATGTTGAAAGCAATGGGTGGTGGAACATTTAAACATTGAGAGAAGCATCTGGCAGAGGCCACCTGGTTGGTCAACACTTGGGGATCTTCCAATCAAGTTAGTCCCGCTCAAACTTCCTGCATACTCCAATGGAACCAGTACTGGCTTCTGCATACATTAATCCAACACTGTGAATCATCCCTCCTGCACTGAAGGACTGTTATGACAGATGGAGCTCAAAGTTATGAACTAAATGAATACTATGGATAATTTACATGGATAGCCCATAGACCATGGAAATAATATGTGTATATATATTTTTAAGAAAAGCAAGATAGGTGATGGCAATTAGGATGCATA